AATTTAAGTTTCCTTAAAAAGGGACAAATACAAACAGGACGGAGCCCGGGTGCACTGTGCAATCCAAACATCAGCAGCTCTATGAAGACTGCAGACCGCTATTGGTCATTTTTGCAAAAGCCGTGGCAGTGAGAAGGGCCAATTATCTGGCGGTCAATTCAATTATATTGGAAAAATGAAGCAGGGAAAAGTCTGATTGTTTGGCTCTGACAGATAAAAAGTGCAAGAATAAAAAATCTTAACACCTGAGGGCCTTTCACTGTTAAAGTAGCCAATAAATATTTATATTTTCAATTTGATGAGAAACACTATTTTCTATTTTTCTTTGAACATGTCCAAAGAGAGTAAAGTTTTACTCTCACAACTGCTCGGGAGTCATAACTCGTTCACATTTACATTTATGCAGATGCTTTCATCCAAAGCTCTCACAACTGCTCGGGAGTCATAACTTGTTCATACAAGTTACAAGTTCGACTTACAAGAGGAGGAGTAACAATGAAGCATGTGGTTCCTCTGAGAATCAAACCCAGGACTCTCTGCTCTCTGCTTCTGAGGCAGGCATGCTAACTGCTACACTATGGAACAACTGTTAATGCTACGTCTGTGCTAGCTTGTGTTGGGCTGTGGTCTTCTTCAGTCTCAGCCAGCCATTAAAAGTGTGTCTCAATGAATGAATGAATATATTAGTGAATTAATCGACTGGCTTTGCGTGTCTCTGCAGAAACCAAATTAAATCACTAGATTGATTTCACACCTGCGTGCAATCAAGGGTTTATCCAGACATTTCTGTCACATCAGGGAGTGGAACGAATCAATTTTCCAACTGTGCGTAAACATATACAAATACATTGCTGTTACAATTTATGAAAAACATAAATTGGCGTGATTCCTTTAATTAGCAACTGGGATGCAGACACACAAACAAGACATCTGGCTTTTGAGAAGGGGGAAACCAAGAAGCAAATTTGTAGTATTTAGTCTCACAGTTCAGGTGGTGAATCCCATCAGATTGGTAAATAACCTCATCACTCATCCCTGAGACCAGACCACAATCACGGGATCTTTTCTGCACGCCTTTCATCTGAAACCCGCCAAATTGGCCTCTTAGCACGAACCCCATCACTGAGTAATGGGAGATCGACAGTACACGGTTTGAATTAAGCTCATTTACGTCTGTATTTCTGGAAGGCAAAATGAGGTCCTTGATGATAATCACTGAATATTTTATTCATGACGTGTTCACCGGTGGCTGAAGGTCACCTCAGTCAAACACAGCAAGATGCACAGTTCTGCTGAAAAACATCCATTCGTCATTCAGGCACTGTCCTTAATATCCATAAACCCACAGGGGGTGTATTTCCTGTCCTTTAAAAGCACAGAAAAAAAATACTTTCCCGCAAACAAATTCACAAAGATGAAAACCTTCGGTGGGTCACAGAGTGCAACAGGTTATTCAACTAGTTACAAAAAAATAAATAAAAAATCACAGCAGTAGTATGTATTGTGGCTTTGCAAAGTTATTACGTCAAAAGGACTTCTGTCACCACCTCCACTGGGATCTGAGGATTCAGGACTTGGTGGAACTGAATCTAGAACTTTCTGCAATGCAGGTGGGATTTTTTTAACCCATTGTCAATTATAACTTAGTCAACATGTGACATGGGACTATTAGTCATTAAGTGACATTAAGTGGTTTTCTTGGAAGGGAAAGATAAAACATCTACTACTATAAAAGTAAATGTCTATACATGTAGGTATTTGCACGCAGGTCTATTTCACAAGTACTTTTTTTGTTTTGTTTTTAGGTCAGTGTTCCCTTAACTGATGAAAAGAGCAGGAAACAGGAGTCTAGGGCCAATGCTAAATGTTGTAGATTTTTGATCCATATAAATGTGTATCTCGAAAAAAAATTAAGTCAATATTATACTGAAAAAAAAATTTAATTGTTTTTTCAAAATGTAACAACCCTCTTGCAGTACCGCCGCTGTCCCAATGAGGTCGCGCATTCCCAATGGAAGACCTCTGGTCTATTTGTTGCTATTACCGATGCACTAGCACTCAACGCCGTTCACTTTTCTCTCTCTCTTTTTTCATTAGAAACGACAAATGAGAAAGTGTGAAGAAAACCAGATGATCAGGAATCCCGGCAGAGACTCGTGAATGAGCGGTGATTTATTTACCGACTCTCCCACAAACAGAGAGTGACATGTAATAAATGAATACAAATTCTGCTGCTTCCTGGTAAGTGAGTGGACAGGATTGTACATTAATATGGATTTATCCACATTATGAGACGTGTTTATGTAAAACAACAGAAACAAATGGCTCTGAGCTTTCTTTTGAATGCAATTAAACAAACGCCTTCGGCCGAGGCCGACAACAAGCCTCTGAAAATCAATGTTTTGTTCTTGAAAACTGCAAATGTTGTTTGATTGTTTTTTAATTACCTCCAGGGCAAATTTAAATGTTTCCATCTAGCCACGGGGAGATGCATGGGTCTCACAAAGAGGAAGACATCTGATGTAAAAACCTGCACTGTTCTATCTTTATTGCAGGTTATACTTATTAAATGTTAACCCAGACATGAAGTTAAAAACGGAACAACTGATAAAATGCAGACTGGAGAAATCAACTATATCAAAGACAAATGTGGATGACAAAAGCCACGTGTTGACTGAACTTGACTCAGTGTCATGTGACTGTGTTGGCTGGTCCATGTTTTCTATTAAAAAAAGTCTACGTGCAGTTCTGCTTTGTTTCCACTAGATGTCACTACAGCCATAGAAGATCGACCGACTGGACGCCTGTGTGACTGCTGTGATTCAGGCATGTCGACAGAAAGACATCTAACAGCCGTTATTGACGGTAAAATACAGAGTGGACGGCTGGGTTTAAGGATTCTACAGGAAACCCATGACGTATGATCCAGTTCTTGCACCGACTCTTTAAACACTTTTGTGGGGAAGTGGGGAAATCAGGACTTAACGCAACACAAAGTGCTCAACCCATCAGACCTTTATGTTTGTATGTATTTTTTTTAGATGAAAAACTTTCTTTCGATGAATAATTTGACAGATTTTTTCTAAAAGGCCACTGGGACAAAACACCATGATTCAGCCTAAGCTGCAGTCATGACTTCATCTCATCACTTCCACTGAAGGTTCAGTGACAATGTCATCGAAGGTGCTGCTGGGTATCGTCCTGTCCCTCCTCATCCTCCTGACAGTCAGTGGAAACGTCCTTGTGTGTCTGGCTGTCTGTGCCTCGCGACGTCTCCGCTGCCTCACCAACTGCTTCATCGTGTCCCTGGCGGTGACTGACCTGCTGCTCGGCCTCTTGGTCCTCCCTTTCTCCGCCCTCCTCCAGCTCAGTGATGTGTGGCTGCTCGGCCCAGCCTTCTGCAACTTCTACATCTCTATGGATGTCATGCTGTGCACGGCTTCCATCCTAACGCTCCTGGCCATCAGTGTGGACCGCTACCTGGCAGTGACCCTGCCTCTGAGACATGCAGCGCTGGTGTTGCCCTGGAGAGTTGCGGTGGCCTTGGTCAGTGTCTGGACCGTGTCTGTGGCTGTGTCCTTCCTGCCGATTCAGATGGGATGGAACACTGTGAACCGAACAGTGCAGAACTACGGGCCCTGGGCGTCTGAAGGGAAATGTCGCTTTGAGCTGAACCGACCTTTTGTTTTGACCGACTCTCTTCTAACGTTTTACCTGCCTCTAGTGGCCATGTGCTGGACCTACCTACAAATACTGCGTATTGCACGGGCACAGGCCAAACGCATCATCAGCGCCCGACCCAGTTGCATCACCCACTACAACTGCAGGACCAACTCCACGTGCACCACCTTGGTCTCCAGTGTCACCGCGGTGGCTCTGCGGGAACATAAAGCCACACTGACACTGGCAGCAGTGATCGGGGCCTTCGTTGTGTGTTGGCTGCCTTATTTCATCCTGTTTACAGTTTTGGGCCTAAAGGAGCATCCGGACCCCAGCACAGTATCAGCATATCCCTTTGTGTTATGGCTGGGTTATGCCAACTCAGCCCTCAACCCTATCCTCTACGGAGTCCTCAACAGGGACTTCAGGTCAGCCTACGCCCACCTACTGAGATGTAAATGCCCTATTTACAGTGGACGGAGGAGCAGGCAGCCATCTGACTGTGTAACAGCAGGTAAAGCTGTGCACAGAGTAAATCACACAATTTCTGAAAAGTTAATAGTGAGAGGTAAAAAGTGTGAGCGATAGAGCAGAGGCCCCTACTCTACAATATATGTCAATATGTGTGTATTCCTGACAAAAAAATATAATGTTCTGCCTCAATTTATCCATTCCTCACAATATATATTTATAATACAAATACAAATTATAATAATTTGTATTTCAAGATGTGCAAATGTCTGAATAAATGGCAAAAACAATAGATACATAAAAAAAAATAAACCAATGATCCACCTGCAGTATCAGTATGGAGCCTCTAGGGGTCACAGCATCTGCAGAGAGACCTCTGCTTTAGAATTTTACTGATAGTGAATTTTATGGTTCAGGTAATTTTGATGTTTTCCTTCCTTTCTTTTTTAGCTAAAGTGCAGGTCACAGAGGTCACACTGCTGTGTGGTCACACCGCGTCCATATGCAAGGTCGACCTGAGAGGTCAAAACTTTTTGCTTCAAGAGACAGACAGTAGAACAACCACAGCTGCGGGAGATACCCAGTTTGAAAAGGGCACTGCAGCCACAGATGTCAGTGGCAAAGAAAGGTAAAACAACCAGCCAGAGGAGAAGTGAGTGCCAACACCACATGATCATTCCTGATCTGACTAATGAACACCACTAGAGGGAGCCTAAGTACCCCCAGTGGCAAACCTACCAAAGTTTGAGAACCAGTTCCAGAAATTAGGATTAAGATACTACAACATTTTAAAACTTAAAATGTATAGATTTAGCTAGCATAAGACATAGCATATTTTTGCAGTAAATGCATGTACTGGTTAATGACACCAAACAGAGTTCCACTATAAAACACCAAACAAACCCACAGAGTCACACAATCCCAAAAGAGTCATCTCTCATTTCTTATTGTAGCCTGTGAACCCAAGTCGTGCTGAGTTGCCTGCAGTGGGAATAAAACACAGGACCAGAATCAATCCTGAGGAGAAAGCACACCAGGGAGATGAAACGGACCGACCAAGATTTACAGCCCCTCCGTGTGGACGTCTTCACTGGCGCAGCAGAAGTCACACAATACTCCATGTAAGTAAATATACTGTATATCACTGTGACCTTCCATGTCGGCCCCACAGCAAATGAACTGTGACACACACATCCTAACAGTGTCATCCACAGTGTTTCAGGCCATATGGCCACGCACACTCCAGCCAAGAAATGTGGATCAGGCAGAGAGGAGACGGCACACCGTTACATTTTCATCATGTGAACAAAATTAACTTTTTGTTTTCGTCTTAAACAAACTCTGCCCCAAAAAAACAATCAACAGGATATTTGTCATATTTTAGAGAAAGAAGACAAATCCTAAACCCTGTGAGAGAAAACAAACACAACATTGAACATAACAATATTAGCCAGAATTAGGAGGAGATTTCTGTGCAGCTAATACTGGAGTCAGTGGTGATATATCTTACAGTGTAATGCCTACAGAAATGTTTGTTTCTGTCTTGAAAACGCTAGTCTTTTTACTAAATTACCAAAAAGATTAAATGATGTGGGGGGTTTTGGAGGGGGGCACATTTGTGTTATTGCAGTAGTAGTGTGTAAAATATACACAAAATACTTTAAAAGTAGAGTAACAGGAATTTTCTGAAAAATAAACCAAAGAATCATACAGACTCGAGGTGCATTTTTGATGTGGCCACACAAGCTGCTACCTATCCAAGTGAAATTGACCTGATGGTAGTATTGCAGTACCAGCTAATATACCATGTTCTGTGTCCAAAGGTACTTATACAAAGTGCCTGTACTTCACCTATAAATGTTATAAAATACTGACACGACTGATTGACCACCTGCCTATGTGTAGAAGTTAACGTGGACAGAATTGATGCAGGAGTGAGGTATGAGGACATAAATATGTTTTTCTTCTAGTTGTCCTAAGCTGTCCACATCTGCAGAAGGACAAATGTGAGACATTCATGGGCTCTGCAGTTCCATACATCACCAAGAAGAAGGTGAAGATCTTGGACCAAACCAGTCCTGTCACTGTGGACCAGCGGTAAAGACAAAGTCACTGACTTGTTGCCTGTTGACCTTCAGACCATCAGGGTGGCCAACTACCGTTTTTGCTGGGTTGGGGTGAGGGCAGTCATTGGGTGAGGGTGAGGTACACCCAAGATCGGGGTTCGGCAACATGTGACGTTGTACAGCTATTTTGGGCTCTTTGCATTGGTGCCCTACAATATTATATTTGATGATTGTGAAGCAAATTAACCTAAAAGTGATTTTTTTTTAAATCATGAAAAATTCATAAATCAAATTGAAGAGTGTAAAGTTGCTAACATTTCCGCTGTCTTGACAGTTTGTTCAGTGGCATAGAGCTAGCAGAGGTATTGCATTGCTACTACTTCTATAAAAGACTTGATAACTAGAACTGTGCTGTACCGCTATATAAAACTACAGCAAGTATGTTGTACCAATAAAGATCAGATTAAATGGTGAATGTAGCATTTGCTCTCTTGCCACTATTTTTGAACGTAGCAAAGATTATGTGTTGAGTTATGAAATAAAATTATAATGTTTGATGAAGAAGCCGACGCTGTGTGAAAGGTAAAGACTCCCAGTATATTGGGAACACTCCATCACAGCTGTCAACACACTTACTGTATGCATTATGGACTATACAATATGGATGCTACGGAACCTTTGCATAGGCAGTATATGGTATGCAATATACTAATACCTGTATGATTACACCAGTGTGAGCTTTATGGTCCATAGCCAGGCTGCTCTCATTCAGACCTGCAGTTATTGAGGTCATGAAGGTTTGGACCTGGTGAGCAGCTCCGTGGGAGCACTTACAGGCTGAAAGAGAAAAAGGCAATATAATATCTACTCTAATTAATCATCAGGGTTCAGCTCTGTCACAGTAGACGAGTAATACCTAACTGCAGTATCTCCGTGTATGAAACGTGGTATAATTAGTGCAGTATGTGTTGAGTCATAGATACTTTAAGTACGGCACCATTCATAACTGAGGTCCGCAGAGTTTGACCAGTGGGGAAGGATTCTGCTCAAAGAATGTTCTATTAAAGGTTTGATCAGAGGACCATTCACAAAAGAACTTCAACAACACTGATGGAAGAGGCACAATAATCTTTTTTAATGTTTTGAAAACAACCATTCGTTTAGGTCGATTTTAAAAATTAATGACTATTATTTCCGGAAGTGTTTTCCAAAGTGGGGGGCGGGGGATGAATGTATTGCGAGGTGGGGCCCTGGCCAGGCAAATTCTATTCCAATGTAAATATTTTGTTTAATTGCGCCACAGTGTGGAAAAAAAAATCTGATTTGACTGATTTGTGAGAATAGTTTTGTAGTAAAGTTTAGTCAGGTTTGAAACAATAGCTAAAAATGTGTTACCGTCTAAATCATTCGTCATCAGACATTTTCTTCTGTTTTGTTCTAGTGACGTATATTCACAAAAACATAGGCAGAGGTTTTAAGAGTCAGTTTTGTAGCTAACAGCCAATACTTTCTATTCGGTTCTGCAAACAGAATAATTTTCTTTTTATTTCATTATGTTCTTCCAACATGTTTTGCAAATTAAACTGAAGCAAAAATATTATAGTGCAATTCTCCACCAACACTGTTAACAGTCTGCGACTGCTCCGAGCGAGTATAAAGACGTCTTTCGATGCTCTTGTTTCCTTTAACTATGATGTACTGTGACTTCGCCATTATACCATCGTTGGTCTGGCACGTTCCTTGTTGGATCTTCAGGGGGAAAACATTTTTTTTTTTTTTTGCAAACACTAGTCCATATTTCCTAGGTGAAAATAAGTAGTCGGAGAAGAATGCATTGAAAGAATGCTTGAATATTCCAGATTCTCCGGTGTGATGCGAGTATTTTGTGAACATTTAACCAAAAGTGATTGATGTGTCAATTAGGGACCTGTGGGAGGCTTTTAAATTTCCGTTTGTCTGTGTAAGAACGGTGGAGATATTTCATTTAGGCTTTTCACGGCTCTAAAACATCATTGCCGTTAACTGCCCTCTCTAACAAAAAGACATGTATTTTTCTTCCGTCTGATTGTCTCTCTATTCCTTCATAAACATCATGCGTCCCTTGGTGATTCCGGCCGCCACATTTCTGTCCCCGTCCGTTTTCCCGGAGTGACCACTTCCAGTTCAAACTACATGAAAACCATTAATCATTGCTTCTTTACCATCAGATTTATGTGGCGGAAAACGCAACATATAAACTCTCCGCCTCTCTCATTGTTACTCCTAAACACACACACACACACCAATCCAGTGTGCACACTCGTCTGGCTCTGTATAAGCTATCAATCATATATATTGTCATTATTCAACTGTGTCATCGACAAGCCTCTTGCCCTCCCTCTCTCTGCAGGCTTTGCCTTTCTTTTTACTTTTCTCCCTCTCCCTCTGCTTCTTTCTGTCTATCTCCCTTAAACGCACACACACACACACACACAGAAAGGCAGAATCATGAATCATAAATCATATGAATGCCATCTAAAACTGCTCAGTGCTATGAGAAACGGAGATGATTGATAGACGTGGATGATTGTGGCGAAAGCTAAGAAGATGGACAGAAGGTTGGAACCAACAACACTGAGGTCAAAAACTGCAGTGCAGGGGTCAAACGCATCGGAGGAGGCACAATATGGCCAAGGAAGGAACGAGAAAATGGAGAAGTGGGGGAGGAGAGGGGATAGAGGGGTGGAAGGAGGAAAGAGAGAGAAGGTGTAAATGGTTGAAGGGGAAGGGAGAGAGGAGGAGGAGGTGGAGGAGGAGGAGGTGCTGCCACACTGAGGCTAAAGCCATAACTCATCTTTTATTAAAAATAATGAAAAAAACTTAATGAGTTAATAATATCTGGAGAAAGAGATGGGGAGAGAGACAGAGATGGAGGAAGGGACAGGAGGACGGAGGAGAGGAGGGAAGGAAGGAAACGAGGAGGGAGAGGAACAGCACAAAATGAAAAAGGAACAGGGTCAACGTGCTTTTTCTTTCTACCCCATGGTCATTTACTTCATCTTCCAAAGTTCACCCGAAATCCATTAGACAGACAGGGACAATCAAAGCAACCCCCCCCCAACCCCCCGCTTTTTTTGCCGACCCAGGTCCCAGAGCCTGCCTGGTAATTAAAGGCACTTAACAACCAATTAACAGTGATGAGCTAAATTAGCAGGATGCTGTCTCCTTTGACTAGACTACTGCATTATCAGTGTATTGAAACAGTGTAAAACAAACCTCAGTGGCCTGCGTTTGCATGTTGGCAAATGACGGATTAATTACTATTAAAACATCAGCATCTTAATGAGCCCAGAAACAATTAGAGAGGTCGTTAGTGTTTGGAGAACGGCTGAGAACAGGGGAAGGTGGGAGTCGGGGAAAACAAGAGAGAAATCTTCATTGGAAAGCAATACTGATTAAATGGATGTACGGTCGCACTCATCGCCCAATATCCACTGACTTATTAAATACATGACATCACCATTTGTCTTTCCCACCATCAAGCTACTTTTTTCCTGCCATTATCTCCCCTCTTCTCCAGCATCCCCAACTCTCTGCCTTTGTGTTTTCGCCTCTCATAAAAAGCCTTTTTCTTTCTCTTCCATTCCTTTCTCCACTTTCTGCTCTTTTTTTTTTGTAACTCCCCGCTCTCTTCCTTCCCTCCTTCACGCTAGAGGGGCACAGTCCTGTGAAGGAATTTAATATGCAACTTTTATATGAGAAACCAATCGCATACGTCTGGGTCTATTGGGCTCGCAATCTATCGGCCCGGACGGCTAATGCAATAGAGGGAGCTGGGGCTATTTATCACACGGAGAGCTATCTCTCCCTTTCTCCCTCTCTCTCCCACTCTGCCCTCGCTCTCTCTGTCTTTATTCAAGCCCGGATTCCTGGCTGCCACTAAATCAGGCCAACTATGAGCTATGGCTGCCCAGAGGGCATCTCCTCTTTTATAGAGGGATTCTGATTTTGTATCTACTGGTTCCTCAGTGGTCGTTGAGTCTGAGCTAACGGAAGCTATAAACATTCAACAAACAAAGGCAACAACTTAAATGTCCCCGCGTCCCCGCTGCAATGAACTTGAACGCATTGAGATATATAAAAATTTAAGAGTAGGCATAAACCTGATGAATAGGATATACAGTATATGAGCGGATCGACAGACCTGCACTGACAGCCGCTGCACCTTCGCCATCGTGACAACGGTCTACGGCAGAAACACAAATGCACTTCATTTTCCGTACAACTTTAAAAGTTTGCAGGCCAAAACATAAACGCTGCGTGTTCCCGTGCGGCGGTTTCTGCCCACCTGCAACAATTAAAATCCCTCCAAAAACCAAATTCATTTCAACAAATTAGCCACATTAGTGGCTACAGTGTAATCGCTGATGGCAATTAATAAGAAATTAGTCACAATCAGCCCTATATTAACATCTCACCCAGGGGCCGCGGTTGGAAATTAATAACCACAGATTCATCTCTCTTACTGTCTGTCTGGCTCTCTCCCTGACACACACACACACACACTCACACACACACACACACACACTACGCCCACCTATATTGTTCATGAATCACCTCTAAGACACCGATTTTTTGTGGATCATCTCATATGAGCTGCAATCTGCTCGTGTCAGCCGGCCAGCTTCCTCTTTAAGGCCTCTGAAGGACACGAGTGTGTGGACGGTCGGGCGTGTGTGTGTGTGTGTGTGAGTGCTTTTCCTCCTCACATGAACACGGTTCATCCACGCTGCTGCAGCAAACAGTTTGTGTTGATTTATGTGTGTTTAGAGAGATGTCACTGACTGTTTATCTTTGTAGTGTGTGCTGTAAAACCATGTGTGTGTGTGTGTGTAAGAGAAAGGTGCTAGTGTATGGGGAGGGGGGCATGAGTGTTTACTGGGTCCTCCTCATGGGGTCCTCACACCAATCAGCAAAGCACACCAAGAATCAATTAACACCAGTGGGAGGGGGCAGAGGGTACGAGGCTACACTCACACTACACAAGTACACACACACACATGCACCGTGCACACGCACACTGCCCACACACACACATGGTACTGTCCGAGGAGATATCCATCACCTCACACATAGCGCGATATGCCAAAGTGTGTGTGTCTCCGAGTGTGTGTCCATGTCCTGGTGTGCCCCGGTCTCTCATGGTGTGAGGTTGGGGAACAGATTGGGGGTCAGCAGGGGGGTCAGGGCAGGGTCACCCCCATCTGAGCTGCGTGTGTCAATCCATGCATGCATATATGGGTGTGTGTGTTTGTATGTGTGTGTGTGTACAGGCCTAAACTCCAGCACCAGGGCTCGGTGGCAGGCGGACGTGAATAAGATGGATGGTGTTGATTCCAACTACAAATTCATTGTTTCTCCTGAATCCATGGAGAATAAATAAATCCACAAAAATTATGAAGCAAGGGACCAAAATGAGTATCTCACATTTCATATTCCTC